ATGTTGTTCTTTCTCGCACTGGCAGAAGCAAACAAGAAAGGCCTTGCCCAGTGTGGTCTACGCTACGAATGAGTTGCCAGACTTTGTCAAACGAATCATCATCACGTTGGATGCCAGGAAAGCTGCATTGGTAGAGTTTTATCGCCACTTTATAACGGTCATGATATCCTGAACAATTCTTCAGCATAAAGTTAATTGACACTACATCAAGATGGCCGGTCCACATATTAAGACTGATCGCCATCAATTGTGCCCTTGGTTGTCGCAAATACAATTTCTAAGGCATAGAGCTCGATATCGGATAATCTCGCGTGCAAGTGAATTTGCAGCAACAACAAGGCCTGTTCGCTGGTTCTTTCTACCTGTTAATTCATTTTCCATCATCGGCTTGGCTAACTCAACGTTGTCGCCTATGCACTCGCACGTCTGTTTTGTCAGGAAAATAGAACGAAAACCTACGACCGTTGTACCAAAACAATTCGCGTGTCAATGGTCGACACTTGTTCTCACGAGCGCCAAAGGAGTGAAGTCACCATTCAAGTTGATGATTAAGTGTTGCAATCGACCGCAGATTTAAAACCAGTCATGTTGTTCTACAAAATTCATTTCTAAAGTTCTTTGGTCCATACAACTGCACAATGACGTAGCAACGTTTGTCTTGTCGCAACGTGCGACACTTGCTCAAAAACTTCAACATCGATAAGCTACGCTTGGACAGTCCTGGGTCATAGAACATTACGCCGGTAGTTTTTTTCTTTACCGTAATTTACCACCAAGAACAATCCTGGAACCTTCTTTCGGACCAGGTGCTATTTTGGCGACGCTCGACCACTTTTCGATCTTCATAAATGATCGCTGTCATTTTCCCGTGCATTTTGTCACGCTTGCTGTCTTTGTCGGCGTCATTGCAGTAAAAATTCTCCACACATACCATCATTTCGTATTGCTTAAAGAATTTGCTTTGATGAATATGCCTATGAAAATTGCGAACCTTCATACTCTTTCTACTCTTTCTACTCTTTCTACTTGTTTTCTTCGTTTTCTTCGTTGCACACTTCTAAATTGTCATTGCCTTATCAGTAACACCTTTGAGACGTCCACTACGAAGGAGGAGATTAAACATTTGTCTCTTTTTTTACTTTTCTGCACCAGAGACCTTTTCACTCCTTCACAATGGACCTAGCCTGACCATCCAAGAAAATCTATTGTGGATATTGAATCAGTCAGGAACATTTTGTCTTCCGAATAATTTGATCTGATCCATATCCTGACTAATGGAAGCTCCTCGTGCTAAGAATACTGAAGTGTGCTTTCCTCAGACTGCTGCACTTCTTAAAGAATGCCTAAAGAAGCCGTTACGCTTGCTTACCAGGGATTTGATGAAATCGAGCTTTTTGCCGGTTGGTTGAAGACTGTTACAGGTTTCTGGTACGATCAACAACAAGCCTTTCAAGATTTTGATTGACAGCGATGCTGACCATAACATCATTCGTCCTGGTTTCGTCAACAACAAATAAGACCAAATCAAATTATCCGCCGAACGTTTTGATGGTACAAGTACGCCAGTACGCAACGTGTTTACAGTCGCAAAACAATGAAGTTTGACAGAGTGTCTGAGGATGAGGAAATGACGGAATGGCCGTTTTCGAAAAATACGACATTATTCGTGGAAGTCCATGGTTCGCAAGTGCAATCCGGTAATCAAATGAAAAGAGACGAAATTCGATCTCACCTCAAGTGATGATGACAAAGGCGTTCGAATTAAAAAACCGAAATGTGCAATAATATACCATCGACAAATTTTCAAACCAGCGATACAAGAACTAGAGGAGCACACGGTTGATTTTTTGTAAGAAGTTCAAGCCCAACTTCTCAAACCCTAGGCACGTCCAAAGTACAAACGTCATCAATTCAAACTACGCTGAAAGAAAAAGTTGAAGATCAACCTCCCCATCAGTCAAATCCAAGTACCAAGTGTTCCAGCTAAGCCCATTGCAGCCATCAAATGGTGGATCTCCTGATTTGTAGGGAAGGCGGTATACTGGTGCCTTATTGGAGCCATTCCCATCTGATGGTATCCTCTTTCATGATCTCTTCATACGATCGAAATGTTCTTTTATACGATTTTTTTGGAATGTAACCAATTTATGCGCGACGGAAACTTGCCAGTAAACGGATCTTTCTTAGGCACTCTGACGATGTTAGATACACATGGTGGACCGGACACTTCGATTCGATTTTTCTTGATCAGCTCAGCGACAGATTTGTCGAACATGCAAAAGTGACAAAATTGCGATTTCAGAAATATGAGGGCATCAAAAGCTACGATTAGGACGAAAGGGCAGTCCACCATGGCTATCACAAAGATGAGGATTAAGACAACAACCGTAAATATGATCGCAAAGGAGGTGAATGAGGATAAAAAGACCGAAATCAGCAAGAATGAGCGATACAGTCAATACAAGTTTCATCTATGCGTTTAAAAGGTCGTGAAAGACAAGCATTCGTTTTACGGTGCTGCAAGGATACCTGATAGTTATAAGACGGTTGATCAGTTTAATGGTCTTCTTGCGAAAGATCGACCGGGCAGATTAGCTAATCGCAATATCACGATTATTCAATTTCACACAATGGTCTTACTGATGAAGTACACAAACAATCACTTTTTTCAAGATCGCTTTGATGAACATACTTCATTCTTTATCTATAAGTGCTTTCTCATTATCAAGATTTACACAAATATACCTTTCGTAGAAATATACGCTATTCCCATGACAACATCATGTAAACTGCAAATGTTAAGGAGCATTGATTACGATCTGTCGAGAAGTTTCTATATTCATCAGATTATGATAACGTAAAAAACAGTGTACGTCAGTGTGGATATATATATCATCAATCTTATCGCAAAACATGCTGATGGAAAAATTTGGCACTGAGGGCTCGAGATATGGCTACATGGCTCGAAATCACTTGCTATCATAAGTCGATCCAACCCTACCTACGATTAATGGGCGAGAACACGCGGCGTCTTGCAGACTCACATACTCACAATGGCATTGTCGGGTATTGATGTGGCCAAACCTTAACTCTATTGAAGATTTTTTCCCTTACAGCTAATTTCTGAGATTGAGATTATTAGCTTTGGACTGAAGCAATATCAATGTTTAGCTTTTCGTTGCGAGGCTGGCTTCATAGCGCGTGCTTGGTGTCTCATCTTTTTCTGGGCCAGAAAAAATGCTAACGACGCTGGATCTTGTGCTCGAATGCGTTCTATTTCCATCTGGTCAAACTTTTCCCCGTCATCCAATTTGTCCTCCTTGCTACATGAGGCCAATTCCTCATATGCTCCATCAAAGCTAGTAGTACCAGCAGATGCGTGTCCCTTTTCACCATACCAATCCTCAAATTCACGCGCCAGTCGTCTTCGTAATAATTCAACACTGCGACGTGCAACATCTAGCTCATCCTTGGCATCTCTAAGATCTCTAAAAATTGAGCGGTACTGTCGTTTTGCTTCTCGCTCGGCTGTCATCAAAGTAAACTCATCTTCATCTACAATCTCTTTCACTCCAAATAAATGCTTTTCAGCTCTATTTTTCTCTCCTCCTCGTTGATTTCGTTTGTCTTCAAGTTGAACACGGATGCTATCGATTTGAGCTTTCGAAGCATTCACTCGACATGCAGTCTGTTTCACACTCTGCTTCGCTTCAAACAACTTATCTTTCTCGTGCTGCAGATTTTGATATAATTCACGCCCCGGTCCTGTAGTTCGAAAAACTTGAAATGCATCATTTTTGACCAAAGAAGCACCATTTGTCATACAATTACTTTCTTCAATATTTCTTTCATCTCTACTCGTCTCAAAGAGCTCATTATCAGTAGAAGCACACATACTTGGAGCTTGCAGCTGCTTCTCCGCTAGGTCAGGATTATTGATCACCACTTCAGCCTTTTGATATATAGCAGTCTTACCAGTGTCGACAGTAGCTGATCGAACTGCACCTGGACCAAGAGCAGTTGCTTTTTCTTCCCCAACCACCTCTTGACTACAACTGTTATGCTGTGCCTCAACACCAAGACTCTCACGAGATCCAGTCAAATTTTGGGCTACCACCCCCCCCTCAGAACTAGATTTCAATAAAGTACTCGAGTTCGCTGCATCTCCTGTTTTTTTCAGTACACGTTCCATGCCTATCGGCTCAATTCCTGAGCTCTTGACAAGCAACTTAAACTGACGAAAGATCTCTCGAATGTCTTGCACGCTAGAAAATTGCAAAGTCTCGTCCTCAATCTTTTGAGTTGGTGCTTCGATGTATAGTCGTGCCATTTGCTGCAACGCTTGTCGTTGTTCAAGCGTAAGCTCCTCACAAACAATTGCTGATCCTTCAACAAGTGCATCACGCATAACCAACTCGTGCTGCAATTCTCGAATTTGTCGTTCGTACTTTCGTAATATTTGGACCGGGTCCAGCTGGACAGTCGTAGCTACTTCATTCTGAACTTGCATCATTCGTGTTGCCAGCTTCAATGTTGAGAGCGTCTCTTCTAAATGACATGCTTCACCCCTAATACAAGCAAATATAAGTGTATTCGACATGCCCCCCAATGAGTCTTTTAAAATGTTCGTGAGCTTGGTCTGGCGGTATGGAATATATCGTGGCTCTTTCGAGCCTAAAGCTACAATACACTGCTCTAAGAAGCTTAGGCTCTGGTTAATATACATAGATTCCTTTCGAATCTTTGAGAACGAGCCAGCTCTCGTATCCTTTAAACTTTTCAGGTCTCCATCAACTGTTTTCTTAAGTCGTTCACTGCCTGCAAGATCTACTAAATGCAATTTACTTAATGCAACCCGCTCCATACCCTCGACACACGATTTTTGAGCAATATGGAATGTCAATATACTATGACTTCGGTTCGAACGCTTATTCAATTGATGTTCTGATACTGAACGCTGTAACTCTCCGTAAAAAAGCTGATCGAGAGCTTCCTGTTCACTGTGAACCTCTATTTGCGTCAGTCCACGAACATTAGTTCCATTTCTATCCTCAACCACCACAAGATCTCCATTAATATCTCGCTTGGGGTCACCTAAAAGATCGTAAAGGTGATCGTTGTAGATTTCCAAGTACGAAACACGAACCGTGAACTGTGAGTCCATACAATCTTCTACTTCTTGAAATAATTGTGCTATGGCGCGTGGAGCAATTCCTCGATATTGGTAATTGCGTGTATCGCCTATCATAGTAAAACTTTTGCCCGCTCCAATCTGGCCATAAGCCATAATAGTACCATTTATACTTTTGACTACAGCGTCGTGTATAATGTCACGTGCAATAGCCTGGTGAACGCGATCTTGTCCAGCATTATGTAAAATTTGATGGAACTTGAATTGCCAGCATTCCTTTCGGTTCGACGGTCCAACATCCATTTTTATAGGTGAAGTGCCACCAGAGGCTGCTGTCCTATTATTTACATTTATCGTATTCTCTTCCGGATTGATTTGCAGCTGCTGTGTCGCGAAATTTGTCGACGGTCGCGTGCGAATGATCACTTTCATGCTCATTTCGAACTGAAGATTGAAACTGCACTATTGCAAATCGACTAACTATAGCCTATTAATGTGAGCTACCAGAGTGCAAGTGTGGTTTCGACCATCACTTTCTATTTATGATACAAATGATCAGGACACCGTTACTAAAGATTTAAGAACTTCGACTCTAAGCGCGACCAATCTATTACTACCATGGTAAACACATTCAATACAGAGGAATAGATGCAGTATACATTATTCGAGGCCAATGTAAAATGCTTCATTTCGAACGAAGGCAATACCAATATGTGGCATAAGAAGACGTGTGGCGGTATTATTGAAGCTGAATGGATGTGTGCGATTTGTGAGTAGCTGTAAGCCTACTTTCACTTTGGCAAATGCTGTGGTAGCTGAGTTATGCCGCAAATGTGCTTCTATTATCGTTAAGTGACAAGATTTGGGGGGGGGCATACTACGCCATTTTGTTGATACTCGGCAGCCTGAAGCTGGAAATTACTGCTTTTCGCGAAACTCCTTGGTTATCTTGAGGCAAATGAAAACCAAACAAAGGGACCACCGTAATCAAGCCACCAGCGTATACGATTTTCTCCTTTTAAACTCAATCCAGCCACTGGTATTTCTAAAACAAGCGACGCTACTTCGACTGCAATTGCCGATATCACCCGCTCAGTATGTCGCCGGCCAGACCGTAGGTAGGACCGATGACTTTTCTTCTTCTCGGACCTGTATCACGAAAAGACACAGCAAGCATCGTTAAAGTGTTCTGCTGATCAATCTTGCGTTTGGAAGCGCGTGGTCTCGCACGAATTGAAAAGGATGAGCTTGATACACTGACACACTTACGAGTAGTGATGCGTCTTGAATATATTGTATTTGTAGATATTGCAAAAGATACTGAGTTGTGCATGCAATTATTAAGCGTCAAGAAGGGTGGGTTGCAAGAGAAAGTAAATATAGGTAAGGGTGTTGATTAGATAATTCAATGGGTTCATGCTTTAATGACAAATGCTGAAGATGGAAGATAAGAATACATTTTCATTAGGCTATTAATCAGCGCCAGAAACAAAGCTGAATGTTTCACCAGGTATATCTCTACTTTTGTAATATGCCTGCTATCGAATCTTCTTATGTGATCATATGTATGTGGTCAGATCCTGGCTTTATTTACACCCAGTGCAACCTACTTGCAGACACTTGGGCTTTAAACAAGTAGCTGAAAGTAAATCATCAAAGAAGCCCCACAGCCAAAAGGATTGGGAAAGTCGCCACTACAACAGCAACGAAGAAAGGTACTTGCCAAAAGGTCAATGAAATTCTTTCAAAATTGCGGATGATGGATGATGCGCCACATTCCGTCGAAGAGAAGTAGAACAGAGAGGTCGAGGAAACGTTGGTATCATTCATGCAGCGAGTTTGCGATAATTTATTTAGTTCTTTGATAACCACGATGAAGATATCAAGTCAAGTAAACAAAATAGAGTATCCATAATCATTTACACGATCACACTGAAAACAATTATATTGTTCTTGTTAATGGATAAACCTTATCATTATCCCACCATATTTCTCACTACCATTGCGAACACCATTTCTGTCATAGTCACAATGATTTGTCTACATTGCAAAGCCAAATTTGGCGGCACCAACAAGAAAACTTCCAACCCATCCGTTGTGCTTTGCTGCAAATTTTGAAACTTTGTTCCTATAGCTTGGTCTATGCATCATTCACAAGATTGAACATGATTTGTCTCTCTATCCACAATACAGAAGATGTCAATAGGTACGTTACACTCAAAGATGTTTGTTCTTACCTTGAATTTCAACCGGAGTGGTTCATT